TCCCTTCCAACCCCCAACATTCTGGGATTCTTTGTACTGGAACTGACGTTACCCTGCAGGTCCCTGCTGCACCAAGGTGATTCTGTTCCTGGGGCTTCTTTCTGCCTGAAGAACTTAATTTCATTTAGGAACCAACTTAACAGCGCAGCGCTTGTATCTGACCACCCACAAATCTGTGTAATTTAAAATTGAGTTGTATTAATTAAGACAGATCTGTATTTACCACACTTAAACTGGTGGCAGGAATGTCCAGATGAGACACTTGCTCGGTGTGGATGGGTGTAGCTCTGGAGTGCAGCGTTTAGTGCACTGCGAGCTGTGAACTCTGTGAAACAGTAGCTTGATTTGTATTGTTTTGGATAGAATCGAAAAGTGAAAGCCAGAATTCCCTCTAAAGCCCAAACCCCCTTTGTTTTTCTCATGCCAGGGTCACACGGAAGCAGTTCGGTGTCTCCGCTTTAGTCCCGATGGCAAGTGGTTAGCCTCTGCTGCTGATGATCACACCGTGAAGGTAATTTGTTGTGACACCTCCTTCTGTGCTTGTGGCACGTGGGAACGCCGGGATCATCTTTCTACCCGGCGTCACCTGCACTCGCTCATAAACACCCTGAGTTCATTAGGCAGGTGGCTGAGCCCTCGTAGCTCTGCTGTCAGGACTGAGCAGAGCAAGAAAAAGAATTCAGAGAAGGACGGGACAGACTGAAGCGGTGACTTGGGTTGTTCAAGATGTGTAGGGGAGGACGGGTGAAGGACTGCTCTTTGTCTTAAGCTTCGCGTGATCGGTCCTTTCACTCTGGGTTTTTCTTGGAGCGCAGGAAGAAGGAATCGGAGCTTTTGGATTGTTTTTTCGTTGGCTTTTGAGATGTAATCTGTGGGGACGGGTGGTACTGCTGTGTCTGATCCTAGTCTCTAAAGAGCAACTTCTAGGGGACAAATTAAGTGGGAAATTTAAAAGAGAATGCAAAAAAAAAAAAAAAAAGGCAGATTAAAAAAAGCAGCCTTAAGTAATTGCGACAGTAGTCCTTCCCTGATCACTGCGTTCTCTGATAAACTTGAGACTGTTCTTGGAGGGGGAGAAGTGTTAGAAGGTTGCCAGAACAAGGAAAACCAAAACGTGTCAGAAAGCTCTAACATGATATCTTTTCAGTGGTCTCTCTGTTCTCTCCTTCTTCCAGCTGTGGGATCTGGCTGCTGGGAAGATCATGTTTGAGTTTACGGGGCATACTGGCCCAGTAAACGTCGTTGAATTCCACCCCAACGAGTACCTTCTGGCTTCTGGCAGCTCCGACAGGTACGTCAAGGGAGGGAGAGAGCGGGGAATGGTATGTGTCGATCCCCTTTCCTGATGTCCTCCCTTTCGGGAATGTGAAAAATGGGAATGTCACACAACTCAAACTCGCCACGGCAAGAGCCTGACATCTGGCCGGCAGCGCGTCCCATCCGGCAGAGATCCTGCCTTCTCATCCAAAATTGATGGCACCTTCTGCTGCGCTAGTGAACAGCGCGGTGGCCTCGGGCATCCCGCTAACCCTGCTGACACCCTATCGGAGCAGTCCCGCTCAGCTCGCAGGGTGTCCTTTTCCCTCTGGGTCAGCAGCAAATACCTACCTGTACCCAGAGCCTCTGAGCATCGGTGTGTTCACATTAATGGGTATGAGCTAAACTAGGCTCCTCCTCGTTCTGTTATTTCGACTCCAGGTCCTACAGCAGATTTCTAGAGGGATGAGTGATGATTTTTTTTTTTTCCCTTGTGTGTACAGGACTGTTCGATTCTGGGACCTGGAGAAGTTTCAGGTTGTGAGCTGTATTGAAGAGGAGACTACTCCCGTCAGGTATCTGAAATTCCTACTGCGCTAAGAGAGAGTAAAGCTGGGGTGGAGGCAGGATTTCCTGACAAAAGGGACTCTACTGGGGAGGAGTTGGGGCTGCTGGAGGTATCACCTGGGCCCGCCACTCACACGGGTGAAGGCTGGATTGGCAGATTCATTGTTAGAAACGGGGCTGGAGGTGTTCAGTGAAGTGGGGGCTCCGGCCCTGGGGTCTGAGGGACTGAGCGAGGGTGCAGAGCTGGGCCTCATCCTCGCCCTGCCTTCCTCCCAGGTGCATGCTCTTCAACCCAGACGGCTGCTGCTTGTACAGCGGCTTCCAGGACTCGCTGCACGTGTACGGCTGGGAGCCAGAGCGCTGTTTCGACGTCGTCTTGGTGAACTGGGGCCAAGTAGCCGACTTATCTATATGCAACAGCCAGCTGGTAAGCCACTGCTCCCCTAGAGTGGGGCAGACCCCTGCAAAACATGAGATCAAATCCTCCTGCCTCCTTCTGACCTTTAAGCTCGTGTCAGACTGGAAGTGGCCGGGGCTTGCGATGCGCCCAGCACTTGGCTGAAGGTTGTGCGCTTTGGCTTCTGGCAGCCTCGTGCTCTGCTTCGTCCCGCTTTGGTTTCTGGAGGAGAGAATTGGGGCTTGGTTTGACCGATATTTAGAAGCTGTGCTTGGCCAAAGCTTTATCGTAGCTTTTCCTAAAACACTGGCAGCTTCAAACTGAAAAAGTCAGGGTGCCCAAGGGAGAAATTCACACGCGTGGTCGCTCAGGGTCACTCCGTCGTGCTTGTTCTTGAAGCTGCTGGCCTGCACCCTGCTCCTGAGTGAATTCCCTTTGTTGTTTGTTTTTCCCCCTCTGCAGATAGGAGTTTCCTCTGCGCAAAGCACAGTCTCTTCCTTCGTTGTGGATCTCGGCAGAGTCACAAAGTCGGATTCTGTTCCTCACGGGCTGATCAGGGACGACAAGCCTCTCGTACCGCCAACAGCCACGGGGTCCTCCCTTCGCCGCATCTACGACAGGCCCTCCACTACCTGCAGCAAGCCCCAAAGGTAAGGGAATCCGCTGGCTTGCTGAATTTCGAGATTTTAAAGGAAAGTACAGGGAGCTTAGTGCTCTCGAGCAGAACCTGTGTGGCTTGCCCTGACAGCCTCTCTTTTTCCACAGCAGAGTGAAGCACAACTCGGAGAGCGAGAGGCGCAGTCCCAGCAGTGAAGACGACCGGGATGAGAAGGAATCAAAGGCTGAGATCCAGAACCCAGAGGATTACAAAGAGATCTTCCAGCCCAAGAACGCCATCTGTCAGTCCCAGGGTTTCCTGCGATTCTGAGGGGGGGTTGGCGTAGAGCTGTGGCTTTCTGTAATAGAGGCTTCGCTTGTGACTGGGAGAGTTTAGAAGACTTTGCTTTAATAGTCTGCTTGAAAGCTGAACCACAAATCGTGGTGGTGGGCAGCGAGGAGGTGGCACCTGTACTAAGGTGCAGTGAGGTCTGGCTGAAACCTGGCTCAGGCTCCAGAGCTCCACTGTCCGTGTGCTGCCTGACTAGGAAGGATTCCTGCGGGCGGGATCTTTTAGTAGCTTAGAATTTTGACAGCTGGGACATTGGCAGCCTCCAATGAAAGAAGGAAAACCACAATGTTTTGTCAAAGCAGGGGTTGTTGCTTAGGGGGCGTTAGTGCAGTGCCCGCGTGTAAATGAGTAAACCAAGATCCTTTTTGTAAGGAATTAATAGTCATTATTTTGATTTACTTGTGTACATCCATTTAGGGAGAGGTGAATTTTTCCTGTTATCGTTTGTTGCCTTTCTCTTGTGCCTCACACCTCTACAGCAGTGATGAACCTCCCACCTGAGCAGGTTTAGGTTGGATACTAGGAAAAAATTCCTCCCTAAGAGAGTGATGAGGCATTGGAACAGGGCGGTGGTGGAGTCCCCATCCCTGGAGGTGTTCAAAAAACATGTAGATGTGGCTCTTCGGGTTTAGTTGTTGTGGTGGTGCTGGGTTGGTGGTTGGACTTGATGATCTTAGAGGTCTTTTCCAACCTTCATGATTCCGTGGTTCTTGGTTTTGTCCCTCCCATCGCTGAAGGCTGAAAGCCTTTGGCTAAACTCAACAGCAGCATCAAGGTCTGAAGGAGGTAACTCTACTTGCCCTATCGCCCATTACCCCAGTCCGTGGGGTTGCTGGAGACCCCCCACCTCTGAGGCTGGCCTCTCGCTAATCTGTAGCCTTGGATGCTCCTTCGTTCGTTCAGTTTTTGCTCTCTTTCTGTAGGTCGAACTCCTCCTCGAAACAACGAGCCCTTCCCAGCCCCTCCTGAGGACGGTGAGTACGAAAATGCCCCTTGGTGGGACGGGGGTTGACGGCCCTCGAAAGAGGCTGAGCTTGCAGGCCTGTGGAAGGGACTGCCGGCCGTACGAGCTGTAGGGAACCGCGGCCGTCACCTTCTCTTGAAGGGAACAATCAGTTTGTGCTTTCCCGCTTCTTTCCGTCTCGGCAGAGGCTGTCGCTGCGAAGGAAGCGGCCAAGCCCAGCCAAGCTGCTGATGTCCAGAGCGCGTTGCCAAAGCAGGAACTGGTACGTACCGTGTGATCTGTTCGCGGCTGTTCACGCCCCTCCTGTGAAAGACAGGCGAGGGCGGGAGACCTTGGGAATTATAACCAGGCTGATTTCGTTACTGAAGAGCAGTAGAAGTGCAGTCCCACCCTTTGTCCTGTCTGGCCCCAGCGGCGGAATTGAAGGCCAAGCTGCTTCCAAGCAGCCACGGCTCCATTTGGTCTCTCCTCACGCTTGCAGCCGTGTTTCTCCTTGGGCTCTAAACTGAGGCTGTTTTGTTGCCAAAACCTTGAGGAGAGCTGCTGGGCCGGGATACGTTCTGGCTTCTTTAGAATTCTCTCTTTGCCTTCAGGCCGGCCGCAGCCCATTGCCCTAATTGTAGGTGCTGCTAACGAGGACAGCCCTTGGTGCTTCTGCTGGGGCACCTCCATGCCCTTCGCAAACCTTAATTACGTCTTGGCGCGTACCTGAGCGACGCTTTGTTGCCTCTTGAGCCGTGCTCGCAGACGGGCAGCCGCTTCTGCGTTAGGAGCCTGCTGCGAGAGGAAAGCGGGGCGGGAGAGGAAGGACGTCACCGGGCTGTTGCTGCTGGAGCTTTTTATCCCGTTTTTTTTGCTGCAGCCTGATCCGGTTCAGAGGCCACCGATTGCTGCCTCGACCCCTTTGGCCAGAACGGAGCCGTCGGTGATTCCTGCAGCCAGGAATGAGCCCATTGGCCTGAGGGCCTCTGACTTTCTGCCAGTGAGTGTCTGGGGACAAGTTTCCTGGGTGACGTCAGGAAAGGGGGTTCTCTGAGGTGTGGAAGCGTCTGAGGTGCTTTTACGTAATTATTTCATGGGAATCTTTGCCCCTTAAGAGGCCTCTCTTGGGAAGGGTGTTCCCTTGTCCCAGAAAGGGAGAAGGACCAGACCATCCCGATGATCCCGAGCTCTAAAAGCGAGCGAAGGGAGCAGCAGCTCCGGCATGGCTCAGGCAGGAATCAAACTGAGAGGCTAGTAAATTGTGAGAGATTTATGCTTTGTAGTAAAATTTCACACCAAAAACAGGGTTTGCAGGAAAACATGTCTTCCTCAAAACATAAGTGGTTTTGAAAACTTACCTTTATTTCGCCCTTTTTAAAAATTTTAATCCGTTCCCCAAGTCAGCTCTCACCTGGGCTGGAGAAAGCTCCCGCCCTTCTGTGCCGTCCCGCTCTGGTTTTGCAGTTCTGTTTGGTTTCTTTGCTTTCAGGCTGTGAAAAACCAAAGCCAAACCGAGCTCGTGGACGAGGAAGCCATGTCCCAGATCAGGAAAGGCCACGAGACCATGTGTGTAGTGCTCACCAGCCGCCACAAGAACCTGGACACCGTGCGAGCCGTCTGGAGCACCGGCGACATCAAGGCAAGGATGGGGAGATACCTGGGGCTCGGGAGGGGAGCGGCGCTTTTTGGCTTGGCTGGGGCTGATTCTGCCTCAGGGTCTCACAGCTCTGCTTCCCTGGGCCACGCCGCGTCCCACCTGCGGCTGAACGGTCCCGAAGAAACGCGGGGACAATTTTCTCGGGCGCGAATGATCATCCCGTGCCAACTCCGCGTTTCACCTATGTCGTTTTTTGGAAAGCGTGATAACGATTGCCTCAGCCTGGCCGGTTTGAGCTTTGCAGTACGTGACTTCTTCTTCCCCTTCTCTCGCAGAACTCTGTGGACTCTGCGGTGGCCATCAACGATCTCTCCGTTGTCGTGGACCTCTTGAACATTGTCAACCAAAAAGCGTGAGTCCTGGGTGGGAGCAGCCCCTGGGGTACCCCGGGGGGGCCGGGGGTCCTGTGAGTCACTGCAGGAATTGCGTGGGAGCCTTTTCTGGAGGTGAATGACATCTGGCAAGGAAAATTGAATTCTTGGGGCTTCGTGAAGTGATTCTGCCGAGATATTTCAGAACCTGCCACTTCCTATCGCAAGGGGGAGTCAGTGACCTTGCTCAGTAAACTTAGGTGCCCTGCCTGGGATTTTTTTTATTTTTTTTTTCTGGCCAGAAAGCATTATTTGTGTCGATCCAGCCTTGCAAAGCCCAGGTCTCCGGTCTCTGAACGTGTCCTTTTCTTCTCAGGTCTCTCTGGAAGCTGGATTTGTGTACTATAGTCCTGCCGCAGATTGAAAAACTGCTCCAGAGTAAATATGAAAGGTGAGGCCCCAAGAACATGGTGTGCTTGGTGAGAGACAAGGGGTAGGTACCCCTAGGGGAGCTCCTCTGGGTATTTTGTAGCTGAAATCCTGGAAAATCAAAGCAGATGCTGTGTAGTGCTGATACGATGTCTGGAAAAGAGTGATGGAGTTGCCGAGAGGAAAAGAAACGGGCAGGGTGTTGGGATTCGGTGCCGGGGTGTGGGATTGAAGGTCAGATCAAAGCGAAACTGTCGACTTGGGACAGGGGGAGTGAAGTCTTGGGGGCACGTGGAAGATTGCTTTGAGCCTCGTCGTTAGGTGGCAAAAACTCCCCCCGTGGCCTCTCTCTTAACATGGAGTTTCTGCCCGACCTTCCTCGCAGGAGGAGAGGGCTTGGCAGGACATCTCTGGTCTTGAACAGAAAGGTCCCACTTGGCAGAGCGTGCGCCAGCACCTTTCCAAAGGGCTCTCTTGGTCAGTCTTGGCTCGAACCGAGACGTGTTGGTCCTTAGCTCTTGCTCTCCTCCCAGCTTGCAGGTGCTGGAGGGGGGTTGCTTGAGCAGTGACTGGAGGTGGGCGAGGGCTCTCTGTGGAAATCCGGGTGGGACCCAGCTGTCTCTCTGTTTTTCAGTTACGTGCAGACTGGCTGCACCTCCCTGAAACTCATTCTCCAGAAATTCCTGCCACTGATCACTGACATCCTGCCACAGATCCCTGACATCCTCGCGGCGCCGCCTTCCATCGGAGTGGACATCACCAGAGAAGAGAGGTGAGGTTCTTCCCTCCCCTCGCTCCCTTCTCGAACCAGCTTTGCCCCGAGGTGAGCTCTGCAAACGCCAAACCCTCCCGTACCGGGCAGAGGGCTGCGGCATTTCTGCAGAGCCCTGCTCGCGTTTTGGCCTCTCTTGTGTTCTCTCCTGTTAGAGCTGGCGCTGCGGGAACGAGCCGAGGATTCACGCCGTGTGTTTTTACTTTTTACAGGCTACACAAATGCAAGCTGTGCTACAAGCAGCTGAAGAACATCAGCAACATCGTCAAGAACAAATCC